ATGCTGTTTTTGAATAAATATAGCTTGACATAGAGAGCCTCTATAAATATGTGAGAGGGCTCATTAGAAAGCTATAAGGTCATAGATTTATCTTTGATTAACAATGATGTTTGAATTTGTTATAAAAATAATGAGATATTTTAAAAAACTGATTTGTTACACGAGTCGGATTTCTATTTTATATATGTAATTACATCCTGTGACATATCGTTTGACTGACTGATAAGAAAAAAAAATGTGAATGGTATGGTTTTCCTAAAGAAGACAAGGTGTTGTTATTTATTAATAACGAGATATACACAATTTGTTATGTAACTTTTTGATTATTGGAAATTGACAGCATCAAGTACACACGCACTTACAGTCATTCTCACATGTTTCTTGTGTATACAAGACTAAACCGACCTACGACGCCCAAGGATACAATGATGCAAATTAAATTTCCGGGGTGGTATGGTCTTGGGAAGTTGCATCATTGTGGTATAGTTACGTACACTCTACCCTTAAGATAACAAACAAATGGGAGATCTTAATAACAAATTTTGATCCCTGAAATTTGGTAATACCAATGTTGTGTTTGTTGCAAGAACAAATGGCCATTTGTACAATTGATTGTACAAGAATTGGTTTAACCTATTACTATCTTACCTCGTGAATTCCACCAGAGTTTGTCTCACATTATCCTATTTCACCGCAGCCAGATGAAGCTTCTACCACCAGAAAATGTCTGATTAGGTGCCAAGTATAGCATAATAATAACAATAAGGCGTAGATCAAGTGTCAGACGTAAACAAAAGAATTAATTTTAGAATTAAAACTAATGCAATTAACACTATGTATGGTTGGATAATAGATCCAATGTTAAGATCTGTCTGTTGATAATTTTGAAATGTCTTTTGTGGTACTTTTTCAAAATAAAACATAAAAAAAGGAAAAAAAAAATGGTATTTGTTTGTTTATTTAAATGAAAAAAAAAAAATTTTTTTTAATAATAAAAATTAAAAATGAATGTTAAAAACGAGACTAACATGCAACAAAATATACAATTTCTTCCTGACATTATGTTATCACCATTATCATTATCCGAAGATTTATTTCCACCATTGGTCGCTCCAAAGCCTCAAAAAATTTCCCCAATAGTATCAAAAGACATTGCTGGTGTTCTAGAGGTAGAAGAAAGCTTTAACGAACCAGTCAACAATAATGGTAAAAATAAAAATAGTCGTGAAAATGACAATGAAACTACAAATCATCATTATATTTTAGAAAATCAAATTTATAATTCAAATTACGATACCAATCAACAACATAACCTATTAATAAAAAACAATTTACTTCCTATCAATACTAGTTTTGGACAAAATCCCAATCACCGATCAAATCAATACCCTACTCAAGAAAACAATTATCTTCATCAACAACAAACTTATCAAAATTTTTCTCCGTCAACAGCATCAACGTCAACGTCAACGTCAACGCCAACATCAATATCACCACAAAGTCTAAATCCCAATAATAACTTCTCACCAAAAGGTAATGCATCTCCTACATATGGAAATCATATAACTTCTCAAAATGCACAGCAGGCATTTTCACCTATTCATGATTATCCAATAAAATATAATCAGCAAAATCGCTATTTTTACGAAAACTATTCTAATAATAGTAGCCAAACTTCTTTAAGAACTCCTACACCAGGACAATATATCCATGGGCAACAATCTCCTGAGTTTATTATTGGATCAGACGGTAATCCAACACCATCCCTGTTGACAACAGGGCACTTATATGGAAATCGTACTCCTACACCTGAACTTCGCCTTTCTATGAGTAGTACTGGTTCAAGATCACCTGTTATAAGGTTATTAATAGATGAAAAAAAAGAAAAACGTCGATCAATGACCTCATTAACATTAAAAAATGACGAAACTGCTCTTCAGAAATACGCCGAAGCTGCCAAAAAACTTAATGATCCCAACATACAAATAGATTATGCAAAATTTCTTATTAATATGGAGGAGAACCATACAAAGTCCAATGAAACTGATAGTTCAGAATCTGTTGAAGAAGATCCTACAACCAATAAATTTCGTGAAGAAATTAAATATTGGATTAATTTACTTGTTAAAAACAATCATCCCGAAGCTTTGTATATTAAAGGCACTTGGTACGAACATGGAAAGTATGGTAAGAAAGTTAAGCCAGATAAAGCCTACAAGTTATATTTATCATCAACAAAGTGTGATTTTTCAAAGGCAGCATACAAAGTTGCTCAACACTGTGAAAGAAATCGAGATGTCAAAAGAGCAATTCAATTTTACAAAAAAAGCGCAGCACAAGGAAATGTTCCATCATTATACGTAAGTCACGTAAAATTGATCACTTTTTTATCTAATGAATTTTTAATTGATTTATTGTTCAATTAGCGACTTGCTCAAATTGATATGCTGGGTGATTTTAAACAAGAGAGTAATCATAAACAAGCCTTAATATATTTGAAACAAGCAGCGGCAAAAGCTGACGAAGAATGTCCGGAGGTGGCATATGTTTATGGAATGTTGTTAGCCAAACAGTATCCAAAGGCAAATATTCCGGATGATCTTGTTTCTCCAGATGATTATGCAGCCAAGGATTTCATAAAAAAAGCTGCAAACTTAGGTTACGGGCCAGCTTTATACAAAATGGGGCATTGTTACGAGTATAAGCAACTTACTTGTCCATTTGATCCCTTACTTTCTGTTTCATATTATAAACGAGCTTCGGAAATGGGCGAAGAAAAGGCAGACTTGGCATTGAGTAGATGGTATCTTTGTGGAGCTAAAGGTTGTTTTGATCCAGATGAAGCTTTAGCTTATGAACACGCTGAAAAGGCTGCATCAAAAGGAATTGCAGAAGCTGAATTTATGATGGGATATTTTTATGATGTGGGAATTCATGTGCCTGCGAATGCTCAAATAGCAAATGAATGGTTCACAAAGGTACTAAAAATAACATTCATAGTTTATTGATGAGGTTTTTGATATTTTATTAATTATTAAAATCATTATTTTAAATCATCCATATCTAGGCTGCAGAGAAAGGTAACGAAGATGCAAAAAAAAGGTTGGATAAGGGAATAACTAATAAGGACTTTGAAGAAATTATTGAACTAAAAAAACAATCTAAAGATTGTATTATACAATAATAAATCAAATTAATTTAATAACTTAATGTGTAGAAATATCATTCATTGTATATTGTTATTAATAAAAAAAATAGATTTTAATTATTTATATCGAGTTTGAAATTTTGCTGTCAGTCATTTTATAAATCTAGTTGATTGAAAAAATTGAAAAAAACATGTCTGAAGAAAATTAGATAAATAGTTACCAGTAACTGAGACATTGGCCAAGGTGTGTATATATACTATATATATACGAGATTTGAATTAATATATTTCTGAAATAAATAAATAAATATAGCAAGGGCTTCTTTCAGAAGCTTTAGTTAATGGGACTTTGAAAAGCAAACACGTCAGATATTTATTTTTCATTATTTTTGGAGTTATTAAAAATTAATTTTTTTGCAGCTGATTTGGCTTCTTCTACTTGCGTATTAGTTCATATTGTTAAACTATGTTATCAGGCATGAGACTGGAAATTATTAAATGAATATGTAATGTTACTTTCAAAGAAACATGGACAATTGAAACAGGTGCAATTATTCTTTTAATTAAATTAGATGCATATCAACAAAAGAAAGAAAGAAAGAAAGAACCAGAAGAGAATTCACTTCAATTCAATTCATTTGATTTATTTTAGGCAATCACAAAAATGGTTCAAGAAGTTATGTTAATCAATTTAAAGGTTAATCATAGTTAAGGCTTCATGCCGAGGGTCGGGCATCCTCTAACCTGCCTAATTAACATTTAATTTAAGTATTGTAATATCTTGATAATACACCAGATAAAACAACAAAACCAGAGTTAATTGATACTTTACGCACAGTTACTGAAGGAAAAGCATGTGGATATTAAATTGATACTGTTGAAATAAAAATTAATTTCATGCTATTTATATATATATATATACATATAGATTTATGTAGGAATTGAACGTGCAAGATTGACACGTTTATTATCCAAGAAAGAAGGCAAAATTAATGAGGCTGTTGATATTTTACAAGAATTACAATTTTTTAATTATAAAGTTTTTTGGGAGTTTGATATATATGTATTGACACATATATAAGGTAGAGGCATTTGAATCAATGGAGAAAAAAGAAAGACAGATTGTATTTTAGAACAAATGCAACTAACTTTGGCAAAAAAAGACTATATAAGAATGCAAATTATTAGTAAGAAAATCAACACAAAATTTTTTACAGATGTTAAACAACAAGTATGTATGTATATGTGTTTGTGCATATATATCGATTGTTTTTTATTATTTTAGTATTTGAAGATAATATTAATAAATTAATATTTATGTTGTAGGATTTGAAACTTTGGTATTATGAGTTAATGCATTGCATGAAGACCAACACTTGAATGTTTGTAAATATTATAGACATGTGTATGACACACCATCAATCAAGGAAGATGAATCTAAACGGAAAGATGTGAGTTTATGAAGTTTCGTATAATAATATATATATTTATTTATTTAGAGAGTTTTTTTTCAATAATAGGTTTTAGAAAACGTAATTTATTTATTATTCTTTCACCTTATGATAATGAACAAAACGATTTATTAAATCATATATACAAAGATCCTAATCTTGTCAAATGACTTTACATTAGTAATTTATTTATCAATAAAATTATTTTGTTCTTAATTATAATTTTTTTAATAAAAAAAAAGTGAACTTACTAAACATTTTATAACACACGAATCGATTCCATGGTCTATGATTCAAGGAATATATGGTACAGCATTGAGGCAAACATTAGTCTTTTCACAAAGTGATGAACATGGAGAAAAACATTGGTAAGATTTGCATAAACAAGTGATTGAACATGTATGTAAAATTTTTATTATTATTTGTTGAAAATTATTATTATTAAATCAATTCAATATTTTTTAATATTTTACATATATATATATATATATATATATATATATATATAATATACGTATTATAGCAAAATATTATAGAAGAATCAGAACAAAGATATTATCCTCAATTATTGGATCTTAATGATTAGGTAAATAAACATATATTTAAATTTAAAAAAAAAATATTTATAAATCATTGAATCAATTGACTGATTAAGTTGTTTGATTGATCGATAATAGAATACTGAAGACTTTTTATCAAAGCTTGTGGCTTTCAAAACTATTTATTCAAAGGTTAACCGACCAGTTTGAATTGTTTCTTTTGCACAGCCTAAAGATGCAAACCAAGTTTTAAATGATTGTTCTAATAATATTAAATCTTTATTAGATTTAATTGAAAAGACATGTCATCTAATTATAAAAGAAGAAATGTTACATAGTATAGATTAAATTAGAATAAATTAAATAAAAAACTTATTATTATTACTTTGAAATGAATGAATAAATATGTATATTTAAATTTTAAATTTTAAATTTAACGATATGATGATGTATATTCAGAAATTCTTGAAGCAAAATATGTAAGTTGTTCAGGTAAATAGTAAACGGTAGTGTAAGTGAATAGTGCCAGACCTACGAGAACAAGTGTGTCTATATATCAATAATAAAAATCATGTTAGTAAATTCATAATTATAACAATATATATAAATATTTGCTTATATTTATTTGATAATTCAACGCAACTAAATAATGCTTTTTCCCAAGGTTCGAGCATATATAATGCAGTTGTGACTTCATATTGGTAATTTTTAAGTGCTAGATAGTCTCGAATAGTACGAAACATTATTTTCTTAAAAAAAAAAATTTTTTTATTTTTTTTCTTTCATATATATATATCCCTCACGTGTTAATTATGGTAATTATGGAAGTGTATATCACGTAAACTCGTTGACAAAAAAAAATTTTATTTATAATATGGTAAGTAATTATACTATTACTATTATATCATAAATTTAAAAATAATTTTTATTTTTAATAAGGTAAATACTAAATATATAAATTTATCTTTTTTATAATTATAGAATATGGAATCTGTTCTGTTTGTGCAAGTCATAATACTAATTATCAGTGGTGTCAATCATGTGATCCCAATTTGCTAGCTCTAGAGTTGGACTAGCAGTGGTAATGAAAGATTAGATGAAATGATTAGAAATACACGGCTTGAAACAAAAGGATTTGATAGTTATTATTACCTTGGATGGATCCCTTATGACTGACTTGGAGTTTACAATGAAATAGGTAAAGGTGGTTTTGCAACTGTATATATATGTTATTGGTCAATTGGTCCTATATATGTTTATAAGAATAGAAGATATCATTGTAAAGATGGTAGTGTTGCATTAAAATATTTCTGAGGAATTTTTAAAAGAGGTGAATAATTTAATATAATTAATTGACAAATTAATGACTTTTAAATAATATATTAATTTTTTATAAAAACTCAAAATCACATCAAACTCATGAAACTATATTTATAATAGTATTGTTAACGTTTAACAAGATCCTAATACAAAAGAATATGTTCTAATAATGAGATATGCATATGATGCAAGTTTTAATAAAATTATATAAAACCAAGATATACGAGAGAATTAGAATGCTTTATGGTATTATCTCAAATTTAAACATGATTCATGAAGAAGGACTTATACATCATGATCTTTGATCAATATCAATATCAATATTATTTTTATTATATCATAGGTTCTAATCAAATGGATTTAAGTTATTTGAATAAATTATATTATTTTGATTCTTGGAATTTTTATTTTATTATTATTATAAGATTAATTACTTTTTTTATGAAGCTCATATATTAGAATAAAGTAGCTACAAAATATTTTTAATATTAATTTTATAGAATAGCAGGCTTTATCTGTGATTGGCTAATTCGATCCCAGATTTATTGGCTAATTTGGATAATTAATTTAATGATCAAATGAATATCTGAAAAAAATCCTTTCAAATAAAAATGGATTAAGCTTTGTTTCTCTATTTGAGATTATTTTATTTCAGCTTGACTAAATAATCTCTCATTTAGAATGGGACATTGTAGGTACACACAAGTATTTAGTAGCTAAAGCATGAAATCTATTTTTATTATGTTTCCACTAGAGCTCCGGACTCTAGGATAGGGTCTACTTGACAGTCCCTGGTGTTCTAATTTTTGCACTCTGTTTATTTAGAATTAAAATTTATTAATTTCTAATCTAAACTTATTATAGAAACCAGTATCCCGGTTGAACAAGTTTTTCTGAAGCACACAGACTTAATTACTCCAAAGCGTTATAGTTTAGAACCTGAAATAATAAAGGTTTGCATGTGTTTAAAAAGTTGGCGGAGATGATGAATTTTATATATGGATTGAACGTCGTTAGGGTTTCTATTCGAATAAGTTTGTTCGAATTATTTGTTTTATTCGTTTGCATTGAAGGTTTGTTCGAATGAAATAAAACGAGTAAAAGTGGGTAATTAGAATAGTTCGAGTTAATATGAATATTGCGCAATGTAATTTAAAGTTTGACATACTTTACTTAGTACTAACAAAATAAAATATGCAGATATCAGAAACAATCAAGAGAACTCGCACCGCTAACAGTATTAAATTAAAAAAAGAAATTTGTGAATATGTGACAGCTAATCGAAATGTTAAACATGCTGATGTTGCTTCATATTTTTGTAATAAATAAACATCCATATTGACAGAACAGCATTTCCAAAATATTTAAAGGTAAAGATAAATGGAATTTTATTTCCAATATGGTATTATGTGTGGTAAATGTACAATTTGCTAACAAGTAAATTAAAGCAGAGACGGTGGATTTAAAAAAAATGAAAGAATTGACACATTTGAAAATTTTCTTTTTATCATCTGCAATAGTATTAATAATAATGTTTTTTATGGTCATTCTTTAAAATCGTTAATCTTTTTCTTAAAACCTCCTAACCTTCTGGAATTTATATAGAAAAATCAAATTACCGCCTAATGATGACAGACAATTTATTTAAGTCGTCTTTAATTTATTTTTAATTTCGAAAGTAAAGACTTGGAAGAGCATTATAGATAATAGATATCGCAGGATGTGTTTGCTTGAACAAAGTTTGATTTTTATGTTTAATTGAATAAATATTTGATGATTCAAAACAATCGTAAGTTTACAATAAAAATTATAGATTATTATTCACACGGAATATGTTTCTAAAAAAAAGTTCAACGAAGAAAAAATATCAACGAATTTACAAATTCTGTTAACAACAAAATCACGACTGCCAATCTTGGTGGTTTATGAAACATATGTTCTTTTTTTCCTACAATATACTTGAATTTTAGAACATTTAAATCGTCACCAGTAATCTTATGACAATTCAAGATTTCAATATTTGTGCTTCTAATAAAAAATGGTTTTTTTCAACGAATCATGGAACACAAAAGAAGATTACTAATCACGTTTCAACCAATTTCTAAAGATTCGTTGAAACGAGATTGACTGTATAAATTTCGTAATGTTTGCTCAGATATTCATGAGGGTTAAAATGAGATGCAAAACGGTCAAAAAATCTTTATTATTATTGAATTGAACTAGAGTTCCTATTCGTATATATATAATACAACTAAATCAATTCATTTTATTCAGATATTCAAATCCATGATGAATAAAACAAATAATTCGAATAGAAACTCTAACTTGAATTTTCAAGTTCTTGAATTACATAACTAAATTTGGTAACGATTTTCTTCTGACCTGTGCGTCAAGGTCTTTCCCAAAAAGGGTAGCAGTATCATTATTTCCTTTATAGGTAAAATCTTCACGTTTCCAACAAAAATTTCACACATACAAGAAATGTCTGCTATATGCCAAAAAAAATTATTATTAATGAAAAAAAAAAAAGAAATTGTTCAAAAACAAACCAAAATTGTAAAATTATACCAATAATGATAATTAGAAGAAAAAGGATCTTAATAATCATTTAATCCACCATAACTAACTTCAAAGTGATGATGAAGCCTGTTCATAATAATCATCATTACGTTCGTTATTATTATCCTCACCATCATCCTCACCTTCACCTTCATCACATATAGCCCTTTCATTTTATTCAGCAGCAATATTAGTAGCTCGTTTCCAAAAACACACTAAGGAAACTTGAAAGTCTATATATATTCGCGTGTTACAAATATGAGGTGGCTTGGTAAAAAAATTTGCTTGATTTATGATGAATTCCAAAACTAATAATAGAAGTGGTGATGCTTTAATTGAAATATTTTTTTCAATTGTACGTTCACAATTACATTTACAAAGTTTAATTAATTAATCAATCAAATTTTACATTTTAAAACCGACATTTCGTAAATTTTTAGATAATTTATAGTACCTGTACATTTATTTAAATATAATCATATTCGTCATGGTTTCAATGTCGATTAAACCAATAGCAAGATATTACAATTTCTTTATTATCACTACTATAATAATCAGTATTCTATTGCTAGCAACTACTACAGCAGAAAGTAATCTACAACAAATCAGAAAAAGAGATTATGACAAGAGATTTTATTATGCAATAGAGGTTGAAAATGATTCTATTGTTACACCAAAAGTCTTAGAAAACTTATTGGATGTAAAACACGAAGGGATAATTGGTGAACTCGATAATTATCATTTGTTTAGTTCAGCAAAAGAAGATGTAGTTATCGGTGTTGATGATACGAGCAACAGTAATCCTCTTGATAAACGTTCTTCATCATCATCATCGTTTTCTTCACATCATCTTTCTGAGGATAATGATCGTGTGTTAAAAAGATTTAAAGAGTTAAAAGAAATTCGAAAAAGATCTATGGAATCATCATCAATGATTAACAAACGATCTCTTGAAGTCGTTGATGGAATATTAACTGTGGACAAACAAGTACTTAGAAAAAGACATAAACGTGTACCGTTACCACCAAAAAACAACAATTTGGATGAATTGGATCCAGAAGACATTGGTATTTCATTAGGAATCAGTGATCCAGGTTTTAAATATCAATGGCATTTGGTAACTAATTAATGATATATTCAAGGAGATTATTTAAATGATTATAATAATATAATTTATGGTTTATTAATTATTGAATGTTAAATATTATTATATAGATTAATCCGAATGAAATTGGAAATGACATTAATATAACTGGTATATGGAAAGAAGGTAATTTATCAATTAACCAACTTTTCAATTATCCCCAAAAAACATATATATATTTATAGTGTATATGAATTTATTTTATGTCATAAATTGTGAGATTTTGATTTTGAAAAAAAACTTGTACTAATACAAATATATGACAAATTATTGATTGATTTGATATTTTCATTATAAGGAATAACCGGTAAAGGAGTCACTGCTGCTATTGTAGATGATGGATTGGACATGGACAGCGAAGATTTAGCTGATAATTTCGTATGTTGTAGATAAAAAATTTGATTATAATAATAACAATTATAATAAAATAATATTTAATATTTATAATTATTATAATAATAATGTAGTTTGCAGAAGGATCATATGATTTTAATGATCATACTCCATTGCCCAAACCTCGATTACTTCAGGATACGCATGGAACAAGATGCGCTGGGGAAATAGCTGCTGCAAAGAATAGTGTATGTGGTATTGGTGTTGCTCCAGATGCCAAAATAGCAGGTAAATCCATTTTATTATATATATATATAATTGTTGTTGTTATAATTATTATTTTTATTAATAATGGTTTTAAAAAAATTATTGCTACAAATTATGTCTATTTAAAAAGGTTTAAGAGTGTTATCTTCAGCAATATCGGATGTTGATGAAGCAGAGGCTTTAAATTATAAATTTCAAATGAATGACATATATTCGTGTAGTTGGGGACCACCAGATGATGGAAAGTCAGCAGCTGGACCTAAAGGTGTGATACTTAAAGCAATTACAAAAGGAATAAAACATGGCCGAGGTGGAAAAGGAAGTTTGTTTGTTTTCGCAGCTGGTAATGGAGGTCTTTACGAAGATAATTGTAATTATGATGGCTATGCTAATAGTATATACACTTTAACTATTGGAGCTGTTGATCGTAGACACGGAGTTCCATATTATGCAGAAAAATGTTCTGCTCTATTAATCTCTACTTATAGTAGTGGAGGTGGAAGTTATATTGTATGTATTGATTTTTTTTTCTTTTCAAAAATAATAATCCATGCTAAATAATTATTTATGAACAATTTTATTAGTATACTACTGATGTTGGTAGTAATAAATGTACAAATTTACATGGTGGCACTTCTGCAGCTGCACCACTTGTTACTGGAGCTTTATCACTAGTACTACAGATTAGGTAATTATAATAATAATATAAATATATTTTTATTATATATGTATTTATACTTAAATTAAATAAATTTTGTAGACCTGATCTTACATGGAGAGATGTGCAATACCTAATGATGATCAGTGCAGTGACATTTAATTTGGATGATCCTGATTGGAAACCTAACAGTGCAGGAAGACTATACAATCATAAATTTGGATATGGAAAATTGGATGTGTACACTTTGGTCCAGAATGCAAAAACATTCAAACTATTAAATCCACAGGTTAGCATTGAAATGCCAATCATAGAAGTCAACGAACCTATACCAATGAATGAGGAAGGAGTTTTTAGCAAGTTGATTGTAAAGGAGTCAGATATCGCCAGAGTAAAAATGAGAAGATTAGAGCATGTAACTGTGACAATGAATGTTTATCATGAGAGAAGAGGTGATATAGAGGTAGATTTGATAAGTCCAAATGGTGTTGTTTCTAAAATTGGATTGCCAAGAAAGTATGATGAAGATAATGCTGGGCTTCGTAATTGGACCTTTATGAGTATTATACATTGGTAAGTATATATGTATATATATATATATATTATTACTTTTTTGGAAGGGGAGTGCGAAAAGAATTTTAAATGATTGGTAATTTTTTTTAGGGATGAATCACCAATTGGTACATGGTTTATACAAGTACGCGATAGAAGAAATCCGGATTATAATGGGGTATTCGTAGACTGGATGTTGAAATTGTGGGGTGAAAGAGCTTATAATAGTACTAGTAATAATGTAAATACTTCAGATGAAAATTTTTCTTCAATAATAACCAGTGAAACCACAGTTACTACTAAGTCAATATCGACTTCACAATCACCAACCAAATCAATTGATGTCGATGATGATGATAATAGTGCATCTACATCTACAATTTTGACATCAAGTAACCCAATTTCAACAGAAACACAATCATTTACTGCACAAGTATTAGATGGCTATAACAATAGTTTGGTTTTAGGTATTTTCGTAATAGTTGCAGCATTTATATTAGCATCTACGATATATGTGATTAAGAAATGTTGTTGGAATAATATGAAAAGGAAAGGTATCAAATTATTCTCAAAGAAAACATATAGGTTCTCGGTGTTGGAACAGCAACCTTCTGATCAAACATCTAATGATGATGATGACGATGATTCTTCTGTTCCATTGACAAGAGGTAATAACCAATTCATGACATCAAATGAAATGTTTGATTCATTTGGAGATGGATCTGTTGATGAACAGGAACAGGAACAAGAGGATAAGAGGAGGATGATGGGAGGTCAACAAATTATATATGAAGATTCATATATGGATGATATTGTTAATGATGATAATGATAATGGTGATGGTGTTGAATATAATGAGAAAGTTTGACTTTGATCAAAAACAAGCTACAAGCAGTAAGGAGAAGATGGGATAAAAATTATGTGAACATTCAAAATTCCAATCAACAATATCATGGTGGAAATATACTGTATATATATCTTGATTGTGTAATACTTATTTAATCTAATTTTTTATAAATAAAAATTTTTCAATTTTCTAAACTATGTATCAATATTAGCAGCGTGTGACACGATAAATCATTCATAAAATATTAAATTATAATAACTTTTTAATTTTACATAAAAATGTGAATTGATTGAAAGAACTAACTCTTGGCCGACAAAAGTTTTCAGAGATCTATGACAGATGGACAACGAGGTCTTGGCATAGGATTATTTTCTTGCCTAGATTTGTACCGTTTTTATACCAGAGATTTTTTTTTATAAAGGAAAACATGTTAATAATCGCCATTAAAAAAAAGATAAGATAAAAATCGATTAAAATAAGATGATAATTAATTAAAACAAGACAAAAATTCTAATCAACTTCTTCCATAGATTTTGGTAACATTGTGGACTCCACCATCGTTATCAATATCAAGAAGTCAAGTTCAATCAAATTATAAATTTTATTGACCAATGTTGATGGTACTTCCAAATTAGATGTTGATTGTAGAAGTGATGCTTCGAATAAAGTCCATGTAAGATTTTTGATCGACTCATCATTCTCATTTTTGTTTTGGGTGTCTTAATGATAGGGATGTTAACGGCCCAGTCCAGACTGAATGGACCGCGGACCGAGTCGATCTGGTCTTAGGTATTAAAGACCGTTTGGACCGTTAAAAATATTATTTTTCAATTCCAATTATTAATACCGTAAAGTTTCAAAAGATAGCGCCCGTGACATTTACTTTTTATAGTTTGTCACTCACAATTCATTATATTAAACGTCGTTATTTTATTGAAAATTGTTATTTGTCACGGTTATATCTTTTGGAACTTTACGGTATATTCAAAAAAAAAAGAATATAGTTTTATACAAATCAAAATTCCTCTATGAATGCCATTCCTTCTGATACAAATTTCATCGAAATACTCGTTTTATTTGAATTATTATTTGTTTTATCTCTTTTATTCGAATCATTCACTTGCTTTATTCGAAATCAATTGTTTTATCTGTTTTATTCGAATTACTTGATTCATTTATTTTACTCATTAATTTGTTTTATTCATTTATTCGTTTTATTCATTATTCGTTTTATTCATTTATTCCTTTTATTTGAATCATCTGTTTTGTTTATTCATTTATTTGTTTCATTTGTTTTATTTCTTAAGCTTGGCTGACCATGGTCTGGACCGCGGTCTCAGACCAACCCTTTGATTAGACTGACGGTCTTTGGAACAGACCAGACCGGATCGGACCGTTAACAGCCCTAGATACTAATATTTAAAACGGACTTGCTCATCATAATGATGTATATTTGTTTCACGTCAATGCCAAAAACACTTTTAAATGATTGATAGATTTCTTTTAAGGTATCTAGGGCTTCTATTCGAATAAGATTTATTCAAATTATTCGTTTTATTCGTTATAAATTTGGGTATTCGAATAAAATGAACGGTAATAATAATAACAATAGAATTAATAATAATGTTACCATATTCTCCTCACAAACAAACACTTCATACATTTACATACATCACAACATCACTTTTTCCTCTTCCGCTTCATCAATATTAAATAATAAAGCACAAAAAAGCATTTCATACATTATCGAACATGGAAACTACCAACCACCATTACAAAGGACAACAAAACAGTGACATAATCTTTGTCCATGGTCTGAATGATTATGGAGGTAGACTTTCCGAGCATGTTAAACCAATCTTGAAAAAGGCTTTCGAGTTATTTACCAAATTTTGGAAGATCAAGTGGACTACATTCATGTGTAGAAAATTGGAAATCATTGATTGAAGCAACTTATTTGGTTATTAATCATTTTCGTGAACAAAATTTAGCGGAGAGCATTAATGATGGTGAGGAAGAAGAAAAAAAGTAGAATTGAGAAGAAATCGGAAAATTGTTTTGGCAGGTGGATGGATCACTTGGTGGAATGATTATTTCATGTTATGCTATAAAATATCCAGAGACATTTGATTCGTTTGTGGTGATGGCTCCTTTAATTTATGTGCATGATAGGCCTAGTAAACTAATTGAAAATATAGCAAAAATTCTTGTTAAAACATCTTTTGGACGTCTATCATTTGCCAAAGCCCGCTTTGGTAAAAGTAGTAATGTAATGATCCATTACATTATAATATTTTGTTTGCTTATTTATATTTCGTTGAGGTGTAAAATATAAAAGAAATTATAAACTTATCATGGAAATCTATGATGTGCAACTATTACTATTAATGTTGACGAAATGTAAAACTATTATGTCAAATTTAAATGCTAATAAAATATAAAATATCTTATATGTATTCCAATCTCTCCTTTGTTTCATCAGTTGTTCCCAAAGAGCCAAATCTTTCTTTTACTGAATACAATTCAGTTACCACACGCTCATCTATTACTAAACTCGAACATTTCTTATTATATATATTAATATTAATAACATGATACATGACCGGGTAGATAAAATCATTGGTACTTTATGCTCCAGGGTCAACTAATTTTAGTGTATAATTATTATCAAAATGAAAAATTTACGCAAAAGCTTTTTATATAATACAAGTTACTTTGCAATAATAAACCTTTAATTTTCCTTATTCTTCCTTATTGCAGTGATCAACAAAGAATAACTTCTGGTCCTCGTAGAGGAAAATAATAGATAGTTAACGTTCTAATAAAAAACAATGGTAAAATCATCATTTTTATTAAACGTTAATAAGCTTTTAAAAATAATATGTTTAGTAACGTAATTTGCTTTAGTGAGTAAGCAAAGGTTAAGACTAAAGTTGGTTAACTAGTGGGTGTTAATAAAGTATCGTACAAAGGTTAATCGGAAATACTGGTAGTATTATTATGGTAATTGTAAACGTAAGGCATAAGGCCGTTAAACAAGCTACTTAAATTTTTTTGCAAGTAAACCAAAGCGAGTTTGCAATCGGCCAATAAATGTAAATCGATCACAAGTGAATAAAAGGAACTTTATAGAAGCCTTGAGCTTTGTAAAAGGGCATCTTTATTTATTTATAATTATCTGGTACCATTGAGTGTGTGCTTACAGACTCGTCCAGGTGCAAGAGAGAGGAAACTAAAGTAAATTTGTAACTGATTAATTAACAAGCACCGAATTTATTTGCAAGAGTAACCAAAAGTTAAGCCATAATTGTTAATCAACCGAAATGATACCATAAATTTAAGAGTCAAAAGATTTATTATTTTAAAACATTATTATAATTTAACTTTAAAGAAACAAAATAAGGATAAAATAAAAAGATAAATAAAAAGATAATGAATAAATTTATAGTGGAGATTAAATTAGTCATTTGTCGATTCTCTTCTTTTACTATTGTGATTAATTAATTAATATTGTTAGTAATGTATAGTAATTTCAATTAATTAATAATAGAATTTTTACTCACCTTTGTTAACATTTTAGAGAAAAGAGTTAAAATCAAGATTATTCAACAAACCATCATTACTTGTATAACTTTTAAAGCTCTTAGATTTAGCAATCTCTTCATCCAATATTCTACTTGTATGATATGTGTCTGGATGTGATTTGTGTGCTTGTTGCGAAGCACTACTACCACCACTGCTGCTGTTGCCATCATTATTAAAATCAATTTCATGTTTTTTGATTTTAGAAAATTTGAATAATCTTTTTATTAAACTTTTATTTTTTAAGTTTTTTTTAATTGTTAAACTTTTATTTTCAAAAATTTCATTATTTTTATCTGTAGCAAATTTTCGAAGCTCACTACTAGTTGGTCTTTTTGATGGATCCACATCCCAACACCTCTGCATCATTTGCACATAATCATCAGGCATTCCAGG